GACTGTGTCTGAGATACTTCTCCGCAGGTAGCGTGTCTCAGATGTTCAGAATGTAATGCGACCGGTCTTCACTGGGGTCGTCTCCTGAATAATGTTTCCAGGTAGCGATAGTCTACCAGTTGGCGCCATGAGTTTAGAACGCCAAAAATCGATAACAATAATAAGGGCGATAATCCGGATAGAATTTTGTAAAACGCTATAAATTGATAGATAAAGTGTAGTGAGCAAAGTTATCGGGGGGGGGGGGGGGGGCTAGTGGTCTGGAGTGTTGTGCTCCTGGCCGATCACCTCGGGCTTGCGGTTGTGGTTTCGATCCCTGGTGTGAACGTATGTGGGTTTACTCCAGGTACTCCGGGTTCCTCCCACAGGAAAGACCTCTGCGCGTGCGTTAGATGATAAAAATAAATGAATTGTTTTAATGGCATTTGGTCACAATTCTATGGAATACAATTACTGTTTATTACTGAGCGACGTTTCGACTAGGCCTCTCTAGTCTGTATCAAGTAATGATAATAAACTAGAGAAGCCCAGTTGAAACGTCGCTCGGTAATAAGCAGTAATTGCATTCTATAGAATTGTGACCTGTATAGGTCCTTCGTGTTACACCACTGACAAGGAGAAACGATAATGAAAAAAATCCCGAGGAACTTTCTCGGTCAACGCTGGGATCGATCCATGGACGCCCTGGTTAGTGGACCAAGGCCTTGCGCACTGAGCCAACGTGGCTGACATATTATAAAGCCTTATAAACTGAAACAACGTGACGACCTATTATTAAGGTCTTGCTCTCTGGGCCAACGTGGCTGACATATTATTAAGGCCTTATAAACTGAAACAACGTGACGACCTATTGTTAAGGTCTTGCACTCTGGGCCAACGTGGCTGACATATTATTAAGCTTATTAGGGCCTTACACACCGAGAAAACGTGGCCTACATATTATTAAGGCCGTAGTCACTGAGACAACGTGGACGACATATTAAGGTCGTACTCACTGGACCGACGTGACTGACATGTTATTAAGGCCTTACACACTGAGACGACGTGAGGACATATTATTAAAGCCTTACACACTGAAACAACGTGGCTGACATATTTATTCTGATTCGTGATGGGCGGGGTTTGTAGGATTAAATTTTGTTTCGGAACTTTTAGCGGAAATGAGTTTATTTACTACTTTCATGTTTGATATTTGGATTAGACTGTAGACATTATTTGAACACATATTTGGATTAGACTGTAGACATTATTTGAACACATATTCAGCTATATCTTGCCTTTATCGAAGGCGCGGGGTCTCGTGAATAGTAATTTCGTGTAAAAGACGTTAACATGTTAAATTAATTGTACATTTATATATTCATTATCATTTTTCCAGACGAAAGCAAGCAGAAGAAAAAGATCAAATCGCTGATGATTTTGAAGTTCAACCCCAGGATATGGCTTTTGAAAACATTCTTTATAACGAAAATAACAGAGCAAATGCAAACAGAGAGCAGGGGGCTACGCCAAGAACACCACCTGAAGAGTACACCGTCACAAAGAGGGTATCACTTCCACCACTACCAGAAGAGGACGTTGTTGGTGGCGCTGTTGGTGGCGCTGCTCTACCAGAAAATGCCTATGATCTGCCTAGACCCATCAATCATTATCAAGATGTTGACGATATCAAGAAACCGGCCGCACCTGGACCCTATTTGGATATGAATGGTACAATTCCAAAACGTGTGGACAACACCTACCAAGACTTTAACAACTTGGCCGTCTCCATGAAAGCCATTGAAGAAAAAGAAAATCATTATCAAGATTTAGACAAAGTTAAAGACGACATGGAAAGCCTGGAAAGTTTGAGTTCGGACTCGGAGGATGAGATTGATAAGATCAAAGCGTCATTTGCCTAATGTACCATTTTGATTTTTCGACTAAAAAAGTGCTTTTTTTATTCTGTAAAACAAAGTGATATAATACGAGTGGATTTATTTATTCATTTATTGAATTTATTATGAATCTGAGACACAGGGTTTTGTTTTATAGAATAATATTTATTGTATACTTTTTATCTTGCCTTTAAAGGGACAATAACACTCTTGCTGGCTTGAAAGCTCCAGAAAATAAATAATATCTCTATCTAAGTACTAGATGTTTAAGTGTCCTACCTGTTGTGTAAATTATCCATTACATCCTATTTTACTTGTCCAGAGGGTTCGAAAATATTTTTAAATCGAAGTTTCATTTGAAAAGGTTTACGTTAGACGTTTCAAACCATTATGTTGAATTTTTCAAAATTTTTAAATAAGGTGTGTTAAGATGAAATTTGTATCATCAATTAATTGAAATATTCTAAAATAGTACAATTTGTTGACCAGAATAAAGATTGGGACATATTATTGAGTTACAACAAGAGTGGTATTGAGCCTTTATGATTTATGATAAAATGATCAATATTGCAAATTTATAATATGTCCAAACTCAATCCTGACACATCATTCTCCAACGCATCGATTTCATAGTGTATACTCAAAATATCCGGCGGAAAACTGGTTAAATCTGTCTTCAACAAAACTTTCTGTAAATACTTTCAAACTCCAAAGTTCAATAAGCCGACCGTTTTGATTGGCTGTTGTGTGATGCGCTATCTAAAATTATCGACTGGACTTTTAAAGTCGGGTTGTTCAACTATCGATGGTCAGTTTTGTTTTTGGTTGTTTGATTCACTAATCGCCATTCTCATGACTCAGCATAATTAATTGATCATGTTAATCATGTAAAATTGTATATAATTTTTTGTTGTATTATTTTGCTACATATTCACATTGTCACGTGATTACAGTACTGCAGTGTCAATGTCTTGGGTTTATGAATGACATATAGTAACTTGGATACGACCAATCTTGACTGAAATATAAACACACAACCAAATGAAATGAAATGGGGTTTAACGTCCTACTGTTTTGCTCCGAGCTGGGCCACAACCAAGAGAGAGAGAGAAAGAGAAATGGGGGTTTAACGTCCACTCGACACAAATTAGGTCATTTCGGGACTGACATATAGTTTAGTTGTATTTCAACAATTCGCTTGCGCGTAGGAGTCTTAGCATTGGGATATTTTGTAAATATGAGTTTCAAATTTGTCACTTGTTTGTAAATATTTGAATGATTATACTTAATATATTTAAACTTCCATGTAAATAATGATAATATATACATTACGTACGTCATCGTCTTGTTCGGCGTATATTGTCGTCATCCCTGTCTGTCCGTTTTTTTGCAATTGCATTCTACAGCCCTTGCATGCCTTTTTTCGGCTTATAAATCGGAGTCGCTCACCGATATTTCTTAGAGTTACGGGCCCTGTAACCGAAACTTTGTATAAGCTCTGCAGGTCAGAGTGTTTGGGGGTTTAAAGAAAAGTCAAACAAAACGCTAGCGGACATCTTCCCCGGAAACCGAACCTGTGATTGTGAGAAGTGGAAAAGCATCGAAATTGCTGTTGATGGGCTCATATTCGTTCAATCTAATTAAAACACAGATCTATATTTTTTATACTTTCGATGGTCTCGACTACATGAAGATCTGACTGGTTGTAGTAGATGTCATATGAGCGACTGTTGACCCTATGACGTCAGACATTTGATTAAGCAATCTGCGTTGATGTTTCTAGTGGTTTACCCACAGTTCCGTGCACGTGACGCTAAAAACTCGCCATAACAGACAGTTTCATTGGCTACTCCCTCACATCATCCAGATCCCAGTGTAGTAAAGACAAGTAAAACGAAATTTTGAACGATAAAAAACGAAACGAAATAGTACCTGTGTTTTAATCAGATTGATATTCGTTGTTTATCAACGCTGTATTTATAATATTTATTCACATTTAATTGATTGTCAATGTAATGATGCAAACATTTTGGAAAGCCTTTTTCTACCCGGATCCCGAGTTTGTACAAGGGCCTAAGTGATGTACAATGTGAAGGCTTCGTTTATTAAAACATATTTTTTTATATTAGTTTAAATCAAAATATGAACCATGTCATATATTGCCGATGCATGAATATCAAACTTCGAATACAATGAAATGAAATTTTAGTGCCTTCAGCAATTGTACACGGAGGGAAATGTATTTATTAACTCACAGGATGTAAATATTTTGTTTTAATAATATTATTATTATGTTATTTTTTCTTTGTCTAAGAATAAAAGATGTTTTTCGTACTGCCTTGTTTTGTTTTAGTGTAAAATGGCGTTTAACGTCCTACAGTCCAACTTTTCTACACCAACCAGAGAACGGTCATCGTTCCATCAAACGCCTATAGCCACTGTTCATTGCAATGCCTTCGTTCTACCAAAGGAATAAGAGAAAACTAGGCCAGAAAATCAGGAATTTCGCTGTCCAACACGCGGGACCACCTGGGTAGCTAGCCAGTGCCTTATTCACTGAGTCACATGCCCATTGGCCATTGGGGAGGTTCGGGAATTTCCGGAGTTAGAGTTAGGGTTAGTATTCCCCAAAATACCCATTTATATAAAGCGGCCATTGTGGACTCCGGAAATTCCCGAACCTGCCCAACCTGCCTACGATCATCATCTCCCACATTTATTGGATGAGAGATTAGAATATCTTTCTTCAGAATGAACGAATGAAATAGGGCTTAACGTCCTACTTTTCAGCAGCGACTGGGCTAATGGAAATGGGTCTGTTGTCGGAGTAATGACCTAAATCGAGAAATTTTGTTTACTATGTCAGAAAGGGTTGCTTCCCCTTATTTATTTTTCTAAATCTGTGTTTACATGAAAACATCAGATAGGTGTAACATCGGGTTTAACTTCCACTCTCCACAAACTAGGGCATTTTGGGACTAACATGGCCACGCGACCTTAGTTCTGGTCACGTACAAGCTTGGAATCTAAACAGGACCACTTTACCCAATGACATACATGTACCTTAAGCGACAAGGAAAGAAACAAGGCCTTAAGAAAGATTGCAAATTGCAACTTTATTTTACTACTAAAACTATGATGGATGTTCCAAAAATGTGTTGTTCGTTCACCATATGACTGCCAGAAAGTTGTGTTGGGCTAATGAAGGTCGAATCCACCGGCAAGGTTGACATTGTGCCACGGTCTTGTTTCAAATAAGTCGCTGAAAACAGAAAAAAAGATATTAGTTCCACTATTAATTTGCTGAGAATTATTAAAAACAAAAACACTGGAGATTGCACTAACAATAAATGAAACGGCTAATGTGTGTTTATTATGCTGGATGTGTACTATGAACGGGTGGGGGTGGGGGATACACCCTAGCTCTCTTCAGTGTCGGATAAAGATGAAGACATACCCTAGCCTATTCCGCTTAAGAGGCCCTCCCACCAACACCACACCCCACCCCCACAACTAGAATAAGATGAAAGTGTGTTTTAAACACAATTGAACAAATGATGGCAGTTATTTAAGTTGGAGGAGCTAAATCGCTAATATTTGGGACCTAAAAATTGACCCAAATGGGTCGCAAAATGTAATCTGATTGTATATAAACTGATTTACATTCAATTGTTTCCGTGTTGACTCTTAATTTCAAATCAGTTATGTCCAGCGAAATACGGCTTGTGTCTCAACCCTATAGCAATTTCTAGCGTCTGGTTATTCCAGTCTATTGAGCAGGCCCTCCAGTTGAATATGTCTAGCCTCGGTCTTTCTGGTCGCTTGTTGCAAATGACGCTAAAACGCACTATTGTACACGATTCGTGTACCAATGGTAAAATTTTTATTTTATCTTAAATATTGGATATCAGAAGCCTGTCTTTTCCTGGTAAGATCACAACATCAATGTTGATTTGAATTGACAAATAATTCGTATTATCAACGTGTATGACTTTGGATGATATTGAGTTAGAGACTTAGCTACTTTAAATCCGCTACTGTCTGTAATGTTAATTAATGAAATAGCTAGAATGTCTGTTGGTTATGACCAGGATGGACAGTTTAGTGATTCTAAAGTGGAACTTAACAATATGTAAACATTTAAAGATTTTCTAAGCGAGTCGTTTAATATTACAAATGCGACAGTACTATGAACCGATCATTATGGTTCATGGCGTCATCGCAGCCATCTTGGAATGGTGGCGCAATATCAAAAAATTATGAGCAGTCGTTCTAAGTACGGGCATGTCAAAATGCATGCCGATTCGTACCTGAATTGTCGGTGTCCTATGCTTTTTAAAGAGAGTGCTACATAATCGTCGTTAAAATCATTTGTGGACCTCTTTTTAATCAACAGAAATTACTACATAAACCATAAATCTCGAAAATGGGCATATGTACTTACCAGTGATTCAATCGAAGAACAACGTGTGGTTGTAGTAGAAGTATTAGATATTGACTTATTACTGGCTAGAGTTCCGTCACTAATTGTTCCTAAAACATAGCACGTATATTTATTTATTAAATAAGATAAACTGGAGGTGTCATTTGAATCGTCTAGTGTTTCACTTGGAACAAGGATAGAGAGCGAGAGAGAGAGGGGTACACCAGAGGATCCGGAGAAAATTCCTTGTCACTTATAACCGGGGAATCGAAACCACGAGAGTTGACTCAATGATAGGACTTATGATACAGTGCGCACGCGCTAACCATTCGGCCATTCAACCATGATCTTTACATGGATCAGATTCACCAGCCCATTGGTCAACAACAAGAATCCCACAAATTTAGAATTAACAGCAAAGGTAACATATACATACATATCTAATATAAATTTAGTGAACAAATACCTTTAGAAATATTTCCTGAAGTTTGGACATTTGTGTCCTGTAAGGGATGGACTTCTTGTTTCCTGCAAATATTGGAACATTTTTGTTAACCAAAATATCAACAACGATTCGGAACATCTATAAACACGTAAAGAATTTGCAGCTCAGTATTCCTGGTAATAATATTCTTAGGAAATGGGGCAGCCAACACCGGATTAACCACGGGGCACCATGGGCCCTCCCCCCCCCACATTAGAGCCCCCCCCCCCACACACACACACAAAACTCTCATTTGCGCGCCTGGAGCATGGTCGGACCGAGGACTCCAACGTCCGGTGACCTAGTGACGGGGCCCCGCCGATGCTCCAAGGGCCCTCTATCGGAAGTCCCTGGGGCCTCCTCAATCCATGGTGAGAAATCGGTGTAATCCGGTGATGCCGCGTCATATTTTCGACTGGTATCCGTGTTTCTTTTTTGTTTATTTACCGGGAAACGTCAATCGAGTAAACGCACCAAAATCCTCTTCAGCGGCAATATTTTGGTTACAACTTGTTGTGCTACTAAGGAGTTTGAACCCATTTATATTCCAGTTTTGAACACAGAATCTGTTAATGTTCTTTTTAATCTCACTCGCATGGATTGGTCCACTGAAATAACGCCAGAATGCGCTAATATTGTGGCAGAATTTTATTTTTTTCTGGGGGAGGTACTTTTAAATGGCTCCGACACAAGTGCCTGAAATGCCAGGAAATCACGTTTCTGGCCACCAATTTCTGAAAATTTCCTGGGGGGGCGGTCCGGCCACGGGTCAGCGGTCGGTGACCAAGGGCCCCCCACAAGTTCCAGGCCCCAGGGCCCCCACCATGCTTAATCCGGCGTTGGGGGCAGCTAACAATGAAGTCGTAGCTAGAGTTTGCGCGAGAATAAATCGAAACATACGTAAAACATAAAACTAAACGAAGGGAAGCAACTCCATCTAAACAAAATCTGTGTGATTAAGGGAAGCAACTCTATCTAAACAAAATCTGCGTGATTATTGATCGCTCATCGAAGAAATAGTAAACATTATCATTGGTTTTGATAGATTTAGCTCCACTTCCCACAACAATACAATTATATGGTGTGTTCGTTGGGAATTAAAACTTTCAGGCCTATTGTGTACTTCTACCGACTCAATGCAGTAGATACAGGCCACCCTACTCCTTGTCATGTACAACCGGGGATAGAAACAGTGGAACATTGGATAAGGCGCTGAATTTTTAACCTGGAGGTACCGGGTTCGATACTGAGAATTGTTGTAATGTTCAGTGTGGCCCCCCTCGTCATTGGGGCAGAAAGAAATGCCTCCAATGGAACGCCGTTATATCGTTAGGATGAGACGAACAAGCCGTGGTTCTGGTTGCACGTTGGTGTTCACGTAAAAGAACCCTTGACATTTGGAATTGGTGGTCATTTTGATTACACACATGCACAATCAGACATGGTCTGAACTAGATACCAAGACGCCTAACATAGACCAATGCCTTACCAATTCAGCAACTTCTAACCAGTTTAGGTAACTTCACACACTTAACTACGATATTTGGGGACGGGTTATTAATGGTAGCAAAAGAACAAAAATGGGATTCAAACCTGGGACTATCTAGTCAGTGTCCTGCACATTAAAATAAAATTAGTTTACCTACAAGACTTGGTTTTGACCACATAGGTTATCCCAATACAAATTAATATCAAAGTTTCCACACCACATACTGCCTGTACACCATGTTCTTTTAAATCATCTACAAAATCATCTATAGAGTAGGAGTAAGAAATCGTGGCCGAATCATCTACAAATAAACGAATACCAGTTTAATTACCAAGACACTTGGCAGTTGGAATGCGACGAGAGAGAGAGAGAGCAATGGGGTTTAACGTCCACTCGACACAACTAGGTCATTTCGGGACTAAGATATGGCTCAATTTTATTTCCATAATGCAATGCGCGTAGGGGTCTTTAGCGGTGGGAGGACACCGGAGGACCCGAAGAAAACCTACGAGGTTGGACAGGCGACCCTACTTCTTGTCACGTACATCCGGTACATCGAATAAGGTTAAGAGTAGGCGCCCGTCGCCATTACCTGGGCAGATGTAGGAAAGTAGGACGTTAAACCCCATTTCATTTCAGTGGATATTGGTTTTACAATTGCCTGAAGGGTTAGAATTTGGGATAAAGTAACGTGGCACAAAATGTGTGGGGGAAGGCTCCTTCGCGTCCTTAGTTCCCAATAGACCCCACCCACCCCCGCCCATTTCTGGTCTTTCGTTTAATATATATAAGTGAATATTATCAATAGTACAGTTACGTTTCACGCAAAAGGTAGGGGTTTCAGGTCAAACTTTCTCATATGACAGAAATTTTTTTTTTTAAATATTTTGTGAAAATATACATAAAATTCTACCCCAATTGTTTTATTTCATCAAAATATTCTAATTAGATCCAAAGTTATGGAATTTTAAAATCCGAGATTGACGTCAATAATATGCGTGGCATGGCACCAAAATAAGTACTTTTCAGTCATATTTGAGTGACGTCATAAGCGGTATTTTCCCTTCAGAATCGTTAGTACCAATTTTAAACTGAAATCCGCACGTTATTGAGAGAGAGAGAGAGAGAGAGAGAGAGAGGGAGAGAAATGGGGTTTAACGTCCACTCGACACAAACTAGGTCATTTCGGGACTAACATATGGTTTAATTTTATTTACATAATTCGCTTGCGCGTAGGGGTCTTTAGCAGTGGGAGGAAACCGGAGGCCCCGGAGAAAACCCACGAGGTTGGACAGGCGACCCTACTCCTTGCCACGTACAACCGGGGATTCGAAACCACGCCAGTCGACTCAATGACAGACTTTATGAGACAGCGCGCGCACGCTAACCATTCAGCCATCCAATCCCCCCCAGGACATTATTGTCAGCTAAGATTTATTAAAATCGTAATAATTTGTATGATAATATGTCAAATATTTATAATCAAGATGATACCACAAGAAGGTATTTTATATTTAGTCGAAATTTAGCAAATTTCGGTCATCAACACACATAAATCCCGTTTTCTACGGCTGTAATTATCCGATCTCAAGGTATCAAAGACTATAATAAGCACAAAAATGTTATCTATCGTTTGATTGGTTCTATATCAAATTCCACCGGAAACTAAGGTGCGGATTCACCAATGAAGTAAGTTGTAGCAATGGAAAAACTCCGGCGCGTGACGTCAGAGCGGTATTTTCCCGCGAGCGTCTCATGTAAACAAACGGTAATTTCGCTTACATTTCGATAATTTTTCAGTCTGAACCTTTGCAGATATTGAGATTGATATTAAACTATTACAATACAATTGCTAGTAATACATTTACATAAAATAGTAATTCAGAATCGTAGATTGAAGTGGCTGTCCGATTTCACGCTAAAGTCACGTGACCTGAAACCCCTACAAAAGGGCTGTGGAGCCCAAAGCCCCCACGAACTGCCACAACACTCCCCGAGGACCCTCAAACAACCCTCACGCTCCAACCAATGACACCCCTCCTAATCTTAAGTTAAATAAATTACCTTCTGAATTTGGATCTGAAGTTATTCTGTCCAAACAGGAATCAAATTTTGATATCACAAGTGCCGTTGAAAACTGTTTTGGTGCGTGTGTATTATACACAGTAACTTCAGCTACAGTTCTAAAAGTTTGTTTGGATTTCGGCAAAGATTTTAAATATATGCTTCCATTTGTGGCATCAATTATCAAGAATCCTTCATTTTCGTTTTGAAGAAGTTTGAACTCGCTTTTAACATTCTCCTCAAAATTAGAATTATTGACGACAGTCAAAAACGAACCAATAGTTTGGTTGCAAATTATCGTCAAGTGGTAAATGTCTTTGTCAATCATTGGTTTATATTGGTTGACGTCATGTATGTAAATCATTAACGACGTCATCTGACTTCTGCTCTGGATTCCGGAATCTGCGGCCGTTATTTCTAACGAATACCATGTTGTATTTTTATCAACTGAATTCACTTCGGTGGAAAGTGATATGTCACCATTGAAATAATTGATTTTAAATGGAGAGGAATTCGATGAAGCGCTGTTGTTATCGCCTGGAATATAAAAATCAGGGATGTAACAAAGATAATTATTAATCCACAGAAAGTAAAGCCGGACGCACATAATTTTAAAATGGTGGTTAATTAAGCAGACATCCGCATCCAATTCAGAAAATGCAGAAAAGAACCAGTTGTTGTTCTTAGCGTTTAACGTCCGCTTCCACCGAAGGTGATATCGCAGACAAGTTCATTTTAATGATCTTAGCGCACGCGCAGGGGTCTTTGCTGTGGGAGGAAACCGGAGTACCCGGAGTAAACCCACGAGGTTGAGAAGGCGCCCCTATCTCCAAGCCACATACGCTCACACCTGGGATCGAAACCACAGCCGCAAGCCAGAGGTGACCGGCCAACTAGAGGTCGAAGCGTGACACTCTAGACCACTAGGCCATCCCAACACCTTCCATTTATATTGGGCTGTTTAAGGTAGGCTGCTAGGCCACGGTCTATGCACGTACTATCTCATGAGAGGGAGCCACAGTGGCTTGCTAACCAGGTGAACCAGAGTTCGATCCCGATGTTGGCCTTGAAAGTTACTTCGGGGTTTCCAGGGTGGTTTCCCGTTGTTGGAGATCCTAGCATGACTTAAAAAATTGCATTAATCGCTTTAAACATGCATTATGCGAGAGCTAAATTTGTCCATTGTAGGTCTTTCTTTAGGCCTGAAATGTTATCTAAATTATTAATTAGACATTAATTAACTTATCCAGACCATAATCAACTCTCGGTGTCATAGCTAGCCTGCGATATTTACTGGATTAGGATCCGATTTGCTGCTCAACTTCATTCATGATTAAATCATGGAAGTGGATAATCGAGGCTATGTTTCTTATCGTACCGACTTTAGTAATGATGAGCGAGGCTAGGCCGAAAATTCAATTGCTAAATTCTCGGTTCAGTGTGGATCAATTTGACTGACATTTTCAGCAAATTTCCTTTACATTATCTAGTTTTTAACCATTATAGAGAGAACTGCCAGCTCTTTATCTAATCTCTCATAATGTATCTTTAAAGTATCGATAGTTCTATGTCTCTCATTTTGAGTTGGATTAGGACTTTAAACTTTAAACTGAAATATGAGAAGGAACACGTGATGTCAAAGTTTATCTCTATCTGTTCTAAGTAGCCTAAATGATGTCACGTAAAGTAGTTAATTAATGCGTCGATATTCCAGATAGTGTTTGTTGATAATTATCGTTTCCGGTATGTCGGTGGCGATGACATACAAATGTATATCTTATAATACAGAATAAGTCATTCCATTTTCAATAAATATCACTTTAATGACATCATTTGTGTCACACATGCCATTGTTTCCCAAAACGCACCACGCATATCTACTCGCGAAATCTGATTAAAGAACAAGATGTTTCACAATTTGTTTTTCGTCGTCATTTATACAGTATTTTACATAACATACAAGGGCTATTGTTTTCTGTAAAACGAACACAGCCGATCACAAATTTGAGACTTGGTCACTGATCGATTTGTACTATTAAAGTAACAATACTCGTCTTCATTAGCCCAGTCGGAGTAGGACGTTAAACCCCATTTCATTTACGTAACAATGCGTAATATCATATTTCCCATGGCTTAATCCACGCTAACATGTACTCAGATTAAGATTGATTAACATCTGATTAAGAAAACAAAATCAAATATCAATGGTAGATAATCTCCCGCCTATATTGTATCGGATTTTAAACAAGCTCATTAATTTTTTTCACGGCAAATAAAGATGGCAGTGAATTGTTACACTTTAATAGATTTCTACTCACTTGAGGTTATATTGGTTATATTATACAATACTATTCCATCGTTTCCCCAATCTTCATCTGTGGCTAATACAGTTACTATGATAGTTTCTACCTCTGTACTACTCCAAATATGAATATCAGCAAGTACGTTTCCACTTGAACCATTAAATACTGGGGCGTTTTCATTGACCCCGAGTACCTGTGACAAGAAATATTTATTGGCTATTAAATATAATATATGCAATACAAGTACTAGCAGGAAGGACAAGGGTTTGAGGGGATTTGGGGGATGGGCGGGGCGTACAAGACACAAGGCCTATGGTCGTTTAGATGGGCAAAAAATACCCTACATATCACACGTCTGCATGGTGTATGCTCGTCGATCGTAGCCGAGTTATTGCACCACTATAGTTATTGAATAAAAGTCACCAACACTTACCTTTATATGAACTTGTGCTGTTGCTGTATTAGTCATTGACTGATTGTAGGTATCCCTCACAAACAGAGTAAGTTCAAACTCGTCCTCTTTTAGAGTCTCGAGATCTAGTAAGTTTGAATCAATTAAAAGGTCTGCATCACTAAAATATACCATATTGTTAAGATGTCCTGAATCTTGTATGACATAGGTTAGGTTTGTGTTCATCGAGTCATCTGGGTCCGAACAGTTCATTGTCAACAGACGAATACCTTAATGTAAATAAGAAACACGGTCACATTTTCACTGTAAATGGCGTCCTTGGTTGTCCCGGTCAGTTGTTTACTATAAGTAAAGAAAATTGCAGTGTCCGCCAAATGAGTGCCGGGATTCTAAACACCAAGCCCCCAAACTGCCATCCATTTGTATAAAGGACCGTTGTGAAATTGTGATGAGGGGGATGTCGTATTGATATGATGATAGAATGCTGGTACTGCAGCCATGTTGTATCCAGTTTTTGATACGCAGACAAGGGACCTGATTCGCCAAAACTTTTCATTGGCTAAGAACTAAATTTTGTGCTAGGATTTTAACTTTAAATTAATGAAAAGTCAGCTTTCTTAAAATATTGTTTGTGAATAATGACCCAAAAGACTTGTCTGGTTGCCGTGGCACCTTCCATGCCGTAGGGCATATTCAATCTGATCTCAACGGTTCTTCGGACACTGGAAAGCCGACAGCGTGCACATATCGATAACATCTTTCAAGAAAGTAATAATAGTATAAATGAATACCTTTAGTCCCATTTTCAAACACTGTAATATTTAGTATGTCTGGATCACACGTAGGTGAATTATCATTGATATCTAACACTGTTAGAGTGAAGTTCTTCTCGTCCATCAGTCCAACAGAATCAATCACTCGCAGTAGTAGCGGACCTAGTTGGTCTTTACCTCCAGCCCCATCTCTGTCAACAGTTTTAGCTAACGTCAAGGTTCCGCTAATAGAATCTATAGAAAGGTAGGAAGCATCCTGTCCTGAAAGTCGAAGGCAAACCACCTTAGATAATTGCTCATCTCTCGTCGATTACTATTCATTGTCTATAATGTCTAACATAAGATTATTTCTTCAAAAGAACAGCAAAAAAAGAACGTAGACGGAAACCTGGTCGCCATTTCTCAACGGTAACATTTTGTTACGTTTTTTAAATTTTTTTGTTTATTTCATGCAATGTTTATGTAGTTTGTCCTGTCCGCAGGTTTTGTCGGTTTTATTTTGCGTGTAGTGCAGTTTCTCTGCTCTTGCTATGAGAAATGAAATAGGGTTTAACCTCCTACTTCTCTGCATCAACCGGGATAATAAAGACGGGACATACGCCAAGCTGTAAAGGGTTCTTTTGCGTGCACACCAACGTGTATACGGGACCTCGGTTCACGGCTTTGTCGTCCCATCTGAACGACGGTTCTTTGCCAGGCCATCGGTCCTACACTGGGAGCTAACTGCGGACATTCTGGTTGGCGAAACAGGGCCTAACACACTGAACCACCGTGACCCCCCTTACCTGTTAGAATATAAGTTAGAGTGTCATTCCTATCGGCATCTGAAACATTGAATAACCCAACGATGACTGTTGTTGTCGGTAGTTCTTCTTGTATCACCAAGTCACTTCCTATTGCTATAGCTGGTGGTTCATCAACAACATCAGTAACATCAACTATCACAGTAACATTGACTTCATTTAAACCGTCTGAAAAACTAAACACAGAACCATCTACTGTTTTTAAAAGTCAATTTCTGAAATCAGTTGGCGAACACAATATCGTTTGTTTACGTATGCTGCGTTATCAGGAGGGTTAAAATAATTTCTAAATGTGTATGGGTGAAAGTTGATTAATGACAAATTATGTCTTTAATTAACACATTCCGTCAATGAGAATACCGATGTCATTTTGAATTTCTAATCTATTTAAAGTGTCTTTAATCCGCGAAGTGCATTTCGTTGGTCCTACTAATCACAGACACAACCTAAAGAGTTTTTTTTTCGCAAGGAAGGATATTATGTTATAATCTATGCAAAGTTGACAAAATTATGGATTATTGAAATTTTGGGAAAACGACATAGGGCTGTGTGACAGATACTCCTATAAAAATGAAATGGGGTTTAACGTCTCACTGTTCTGCTCAGACAGGGCTAATGAAGAAGGGTATACGTCATACATTGGGCTATGAGGGAAATTTTGCCCGGACAGCGGCGCTACGACCTACTCTTATATCGAATTCAAACTGCCTGGGGATCTTTTAGGACGACGCCAATGTGTACACGGTACCTCGGTTTTTCGTCTCGTCTGAACGACTAGACAGCTGTCCTTGTGGGAAACCACGTTGGAAAATCCCAATGAACTGTGACCAAAACAGAGAGTTGACCAAAACAAAGGGTTGACCAAAATAAAGAAGCTATTTTTGGATCTGACCTGATGATAATCTATTTTATTATAGAAAATAAATGGAAGAACAATTCACAAAGGTAATAAATCCAGACAATAATTTGAGAAGCCAATAATGTGACAGTTGAGGCTTTGTGTATCCATATTTAGGTATGCCCTTGCCAGGTCCCCCGTCCTGCACCACTGACAAGGGGAAACCACGCCGGAAAAACCCCGATGAAATTTCTCGGCCAACCCCTGGATCGAACCTTCGACCTCCAGACTAGCGAGCCAGCGTCTTACTCACTTAGCCACCGTGGCTCCCTATAAAAACAGATTCAGTTCAAATGAATAATGGCCACATTCGACATTAATAACAGAATGGAAGAGGAACTTACATCATCGTTACGTTATGCCTTTCCTCCGTTTCGTAATCTAGCGGTTGAATGAGCAGCATTGTGAAATTAACAACCTGGAAATTGATGTTTCTGGAATCTAACCGTATAACGATAGTATCATTTTCTGGATCATCTACAGATGTCTGTAATATTTCCGTGGGTGGTACAAGGCTCTCGTTAAATACAAGAACAGTAGAGCCGTCCATTGATGGGTAATACACAACTGGTGGGTCATCTGAAACCAAACATGAAAAAATGTGTGTGGTGTTCTGTCCTTATCATTGCTATGGTTGACGAATTATGTGATGGCATTCTTACCCTTTTAATGGTAGACTAATTACGTGGTATGACATTTTTACCATTTCAATGGTTAACTAATTATGTGGTATGGTATTTTTACTATTTCTATGGTTCAGTTATTGTGATCTGACTCTTTGTATGTTTGACATATTACGTGGTATGGTATTTTTACCATTTCTATGGTTGGCTAATTACGCATTTTTTACCATTTGTATGGTTAACTAATTAGGTGGAATAGTGTTCTTATCATTTCTATGGTAATCGAATTACGTGGTATGATATGCTTACAATTTCAATGGGTGAAAGTAAGATAGGTTGATACTGTCTTGAACGAATATGACAAGAAATCTGACATTCGATTGATTTTTTTTTTTTAATCCATTGCATGAACGTTGAATCTCTAGAAGAAATGTCAGTCCAAAATGATCAAATTCTGTTCAGTATATAAAAAGATATGATGAACGGAACATTTTTTAAAATTTGGTATTCTCTGTAAACGATTAAAAAACGGGATATGGTCAAATAAGCCAGAATTATCAACAATCTGCGATCAAGAAAATTAATACGAATGAATCCAAGTCCGGAGATTATCTACTTTTGATCGTTTGATTTTGCTTTCTTAATTAATGTCAAATAATCAAATAAGATATTTTTCAACTTGGATTAAGCCTGTTAAGAAACAGATATTGTCGGACAAATATGCACCTCCATCAGAGGCTTTAAAGGACAATATTGGTGCCAGTCATTATCACATATGTGATAGAACTGGTTAAACACCTTCCTTCGAAGACCAAAAGTTGTTGTATGAGACTGTGAAAGGATATCTGACAATTCATAAACAAAATTGACTGTCACTAGATAAGAGAACATGAAAGAAAAATAGAAAAAGTCCGTGCATTACTATGTATAGAATAGAATGAATAAACACCCGTGAATGTACGGACTGGTCTTCGAAGGAATTTTTAGTGAGCAAAAATTCGCCCATGTATCTGTTATCACCCGTCATTTCAGTCAGTTATATAGAGGGATAACTCGTGTTTTCCTTTTGCGTTCGTCACTTCCGATTGTTGAAACATTGATTACTCATTTATCGTAGCAATGGTCGCTGTGATAAAATAATATTTGGAAGGTGTTTAACCAGTTCTATCATATATGTGATAATGACAGGCACCAATATTGTCCTTTAAGGAAAATAAAAGAGAATGATAAAGTTTCGGGTTTTAAGAACCTGAACTCTAACCTTTTAATATCGTCCAATATCCGGGTTGATAGTATGATCTTAATGTAATGACAGATATACTGAAAGTTGTAGCTGACTGGTAACTGAGAATAGCACCACTATCTATGAGATAGTCGGTACCAACCATTAAATGTCCTGTTCCATTCCACGATATCCAAAACCTCTTCGAATTATTACAATCAAAAGTCTTCAGATATTTTACTTGGGTAACTTGACAACCCTCACATCGGTCTCGTATTCCCACATACTTTCCCGAAAAAACAATTTCTAAAAAATACGATCCCGAATCAGTAACAGGTCCGTCCAGTAATCGCAGAAGTTGGTCGTAACAGGCTTTAATTTCCAGTCTGAGGCTTGATGTTGTGTTGAGATCTATACCTAGTTGGGAGACGTCATAATGGCTGGTCGACGTATTGTGATAATAGTATATTCCTGAAATTTAAGAAAACAAAATAAGAGCGAGAGAGAGAGGGGGGGGGGGGGGGTACCATCCACTCGACACAAACTAGCCCCACGAGTTTGGACAGGCGACATTAGAGATTATGATAGAACGCGCACGCGCTAACCATTCACCCCCCCCCCCCCCCCCGACACACACACACTAAATGGAGAGAGAACCAAACCTTGAAAATGTATATATTGCTCTTAAAAATAATCAAATTTCAGAACAGGTCTTTATTAACTTATTAGGAACTGTAAATCTAATTTGTAATCAATCACCAAATTAAAACAGAACAAAAAAAACAAACTGAGAACGACGCCAAAATTTCGTCGGTGAAGTGTCAAAAGGGTGTATCTCGGGAAATTAGTTCAATACACTTTTTTTACATTTTTTAAATCTCCCAATCAATGTGCATATTTCTGTCTAAGCTGTGTATCTCTATGCCAATTAGAACTATTCTGGGTATCATGTGTCCAAATGTATCTTGATTTATGGAAATTTTGAAATGCAAAAGGTTCTATTTCTTAATCTTTAGAAATTCTTAGATACACCCTTTTGACACTTTAACGACGATATGTAAATGTTTATGCAATGGATTGCTCTTGAAAGTAGTCAAATTTCAGAACAGTAGCTGAGTCTTTATACGTTTATGAGAACCTGTGAATCTAACTTATAATCACCAAATTTAAAACCAGTTGAATTAATAGTTTAAGATAATAAAAAAAACAATCCAAAGTACTCATATTAGTATTAAAGGGCATATTGCTCCAAAAGCAGGGAAAATGCTGATATTGAAATAAACAAACCTCCATCAGTTAATCTAAAAAATACACCTAACATCACTATAACATGCTGATTTGTCATGGTGAAGACTTTATCAAATATAAAATGAAGATGTTAGTCCTGCTTTACTCCATATGAATCGTGATATCAACCCATATTTCCCAGACATGTGTCCTCAATCAGATCAATAAAATTACGTTACAGCACATAATATCCCATCTTGCTGTTACGAGCTCCATTCATTGAAGACGTTATTTTATAATCCCTTTCTTACTCGCATATAACACACGTACTGCATAGCTGATTATCTCTAACACTTGTATTTATCACAACAAATGATTCCGCCCATCATCAAATTACATGTCAATTTGTATAATCTACAACATTGAGAATCGAGTAGTTTTGACTGTTGATAGACAACGTCATGGAAAGCGACAGCTATAGAGACTCAATATACATCGACAATTCGATTTGAGCTTGGTCTACGCTAATACGAGAGAGAGAGAGAGAGACAGAGAGAGGGAGAGAGAGAGAGAGGGAGCTTCCACATACTAACATATGATTCAAGTTTATTTCAATGTTACGCACAAGCTTGTATTCGCCACACAGTCCCTTCACTCAATGACAGACCTAATGAGCTAAAGTGCATGCGTTAGACCATCCGACACCACCACCCCTACCACCGAGCTAGCAAAATCTGATTGGGGATCTCATGTCATGTGATTGGTTATTAGATAAGTCAGTTACCGGGTGTGTCGATTTTATAAAAACAAATTCGACTCGTCTAAAACAAAGCCATGGTTTCCAGAGATCTTCGTTCAGTCATTAAAACAACGCCGCTCAGAGTTGTCAAAAATAGCTGATCCGTTTACACTCGAAATGTCCATAAAAGGGCAAGCACCTCAGGGTAAATATTACGCCACCCCTCCCTAAATGCGCAACTGTTTTCTATTACCATGGTAATGAATACAATGTAAAGAGTGCGTAGAGAGAGATGGGGTTTAACATCCATTCGACACAAACTAGGTTATCTCGGGACTAACAAATGGTTCGATTTTATTTCAATAATTCGCTTGCGCCTAGGAGTCTTTAGCAGTAGGAGGAACCCGGAAAAAACCCACGAGGTTAGACAGGCGACCTTACTCCTTGTCACGTACAACTGGGGAATCGAAACCACGGCAGTTGACTCAATGACAGACCTTATGATACAGCGCGCACGTGTTAACCATTCGGCCATACAACCCCCAAATACAATGTAAACCCGGCAACATAATGTGCAACTGTTTTCTATTACCATGGTAATGAATACAATGCTAACCCAGCAACATAATATTATTGAGATATATGACCATCGATAAAACATGATACGATACTTTAATTATACTGATCAATAATCACACTGTCTAACAACCTCTTTAAATTATAAGGTTTTCAGTATCGAAATTACGGTATGTCATAAAATCTCAGATCGATCGATTTATCGAATTTCAATCTGTACAATAATTAATTAATAGATTAAAGTTGTCAAGAACGAAGGCGTTTAAAACATCAACTAGAAATATTTTTGTTGTTATAAATGTAACATGATCAGAACTTATTTCAAGAATGAAAGATCAATTAATCACACGCAATATTATATGTTTAAACGATAGCTTACGATACATTCCAGCATAATAATGTGACACCAGAATTGGTATATCTACGTCATGTTGGTGGGCGGGGCGTGGGAGACTCTGACGGACAATTAACAAATGCACGTATATATGTACATTCCATATCCAAGCACATTTTCACCGTTGCTCATAGGTGAGAAAATGAAATTGTTCCTGTTGATTTCTCTGGGTCCTCCGGTTTCCTCCTACTGCTAAAGACCCCTAAAATCAAGCGAATTATTGAAATAAAATTCAACCATATGTTAGTCCCGAAATGATTTAGTTTTTGTCGAATGGACGTTAAACCCTATTTCTCTTTTTCTGTTCAGTTTGATATGAAGATCGCCTGCTTACGAACATGCCTGTGGTATTTCATTAGATGCACCATTGAAATATTAATCTCTATTTCCCTCCATAAAACAGCACAAACAATTCACATTATTTGCCCTGACATATCATATTAGGGTATACGATGGCGCAGATAAGACAGGGAACACTTAATCACTATGTGACTGTCATAACAAGCGTCCTGTTGTCTTATTAGGGTACAAACACACCGTAGAATTCCCCAATATGTATACTTCCAGATTAATGTACACGTTTTTTGTCAGTCGATATGTTTAACTTACAGTATTATTATCAATATTGATTATAATCACACGGATGCTTCACAATAAAAGAAGAACCAAAGATCTTTCCCTTGTTGGTTTATGGAGAGATCTAGTTTAATGCAGAGCAAAGAGTATCGCTGACAGTGGTTAATGCCCATGAATAATTTACGGTCATTTAAACCTACATCTTTAATACATATTAATCTTCGTGACAACACGTGGTGTGCAACAATAATACTATATAGCTTGTCTGATTGTTGTCAGTGAATATACAGACCATTCAGTACAATTCCAGGGTGTAGGCTGGCTATCATTAAAGACGCATTATGTAAGAGCTAAACTGCCTATCGCAGGTTTTTCTGACTTTAAATGTTCTATTAATTATTATTTATACAGTTATTAACATGACGAGCACATAATCAACTTTCTGGGCCATGGGATGCTCCCGACTGTAACTAGATTAGGACAACGCGGCCATTTTAACGTTTAACAATAGAGTAGATAATCGAGATTTTTTCTCGGTTGCTAAATACCGATGCTACGACAGTTAACAATCTTCGCTATAGTTTGTTGAACAGGTTAAAGCAATGTGACTGAAATTTTCAATATATTTATTTTTCATTATCTAGTTTTGAACTATTTTGTGAACATCAAGAAATATTTTTCAATCAAGCACGATATACCAATTTCTCGTCATCGACGTTTACAGGGATTTTCAGGCGTGTTTATCCCTTGTCAGTGATCCAAGACGGAGGAACGGGCAGGGTATAGCTATTAGTCGTTAGGGTGGAACGACAAACCAGGTCCTGTGTACATGGTTGGCGTGCACGTAAAAGAACCCTTGACGGATAGAATTCGAAATATGAGTAGGCTGTACTGCGAGATCCAGGCTATATTTTATGTGCCATAAACACCAGTGTTAGTCATTTCAGTCTTTGTTTTCTTTGTTGCTTATGATGTTACTCTGTAAATGCCTCATCCATGCTGTCTGAATCCAGCGGTCGCGATTAGTCTTTACTTTACCTATTTGTACGCAGGAGCAACGACTTTGTAATTATTTGTATCTCAAAAGCCAGGATCGTGGGCCCAATCTGATTAAAATACTGATCTACATTTCGTTTCGTTTTTTTTATACTTTCGATGGCCTACACTACACTCTAAATCCAACCCTTAGTAGGAAATATACCAACGTGGCTCTCACCCGAGAGCCTCAAATTTATTATTTTCCCTTCAGAAACCAAAATATCAGAATACCGCAAGCGACAACGAAGGAAGACCATCAGCGACACCAATATCCTCTCCCCCACATTCCTAAACGTAACCCATCCCGGGGAAAAAAACTCGTCTCTGAATCCGGAAAGTTTAGAATTGGAATATACAGAGGACACCCGGAAATAATATCCACATGGCTTAACGACCAGCACGCAAAGTAAAGACGGGCCGATAATTAAGATGTATTCCACCAAAATTTACAATGCCTTCATCACCTGAATATAATGAAAAAAACAAGCCGAAGGTGAACCAACGAAAGGCTTTCACCATAAAGTGATTAATCTCACTAAATTTGTTAAAGCAGCAATGATTACCACTTCACTATATATCAAACTTTATTCTAACCATTGGCAAAACATGGGCAAAAACCATCGGCATAGAACTCACTTCTCACTATGAGAAGACTCTTGGTTCAAAATTAGATTGGCTTAAGACGCAGAAGTTTTCTCACGATCAAATCACCACGTTCTCAAATGCCGGGTTCATGGTCTAAGAAATCGTTCGGAAGGAAAATGAACACCGCGACAAAAACAAACGACTGACACCCAACCCCAGTGACAACCCGGCCCAGACCTCGATCCTCACAACAGATTACATCCATGGACGTTGAAGTGACTACCCCCATCTCTATCAGACCAACTCCTTTAGAGGCCGGTACACCAAACCGAAAGAGACGACTCAGTATTAAAGTCAGTTATCATCTAGTTGTATATCATCATGTACAGTAGTATAACATCATACTAAAATCCCACTTGCATTAAAAGATGCATTTAAACCCTGTGCAATCGGGGTATGTCCTTTAAAGATCACGTCGCCCCATGTAAATACAGTTTAAATATGGATGGGGGTTAGGGATCTGCCACTACCTAAAGCATGTCTGATCCAATAGAATAGCCTCCAAGTGTTAAAAAAATCCCATTGAGCATTTTTTGTCCTGCATGAAAAGGGTCCCATTTGTTAAGCTTACCTTAACTTGCTGGGGAGTTAGTCCAGCAGCTGACGCGACCGAGTCAACACGGTTTTGAGTTGACTCGAAAATTCCTTTTCCAGCTCCTCAGAAGATATTCTTTTCTTTTCTAAAATTTACACACTATGTTTACCTTGGCTTTACAAACTCTGGTGTAAAATTTCAAAAACAATAACAGCAATGTATTATATAATAATAATATAAATGTCAATTTCTATAGCGCCAAAACTCCAAAAATATTGTGCTCGTAGCGCTCGACAAATCATATCCACATAAAGTCTTTAGCTCCGAGTTCTAATTTGTTTAAAACAGATGAGTTTTTAAAAGTTTCTTAAATCACGATAATGATGTGCATTGGCGTAGGTTAATGGGTAATGACTTCCGCCTTCTAGCAGTAGCTACTTCAAATGAACGAAAGCGAAAAGTGGTCATCCTGAGAGATTTTGATCCAAGATTTTTGGATGGAATATAAGATTGAACAAGTTCACATAATTATTTGGGAACGGTGCAATTAAGGATTAAGGAGTTTAAAATCTATTCAAGACAGAAACAGAGACCCAATGCAGATCCTTTCGAATGGGTGTGATGTTGCTGGATCTAGTTAATTAGGTCACCGTCATGGC